GTCTTTCTACAAGACCATCAATTAAAGGGACAACTTGTAATTAAATGTCACTCCCAATATCCTCTGGGAAACTTTCCGTTAAACTTATCAACGCTACACAAATGCCCTCTTTGAAGTCCTTACCCTTCTTGCTCAGTAGAAATGCCCAATCAAGTTTGGGACAGATTTAACACTTTCTTGGCGACGGCTATCATTACACTTCAATTCGTCAGATGTGGGTCGTTTCCTTGAGCTAATTCTTATATCCAAATTTCTTAATTTCCTATCATGTGTCTTCAAAACTTGTCGGGAAATCTTTTCATGTAAACTATCTGCAATACTCTACTCGGCGAAAATCCTCTTTCATTGTTGGGCTTACTCCCATTTCAAGTGAAAGTGTTTGTGGATGAGATTCGAGGGTCGGTTCTACCAGAAGACGACGGCGGATTCCTCTCGGCCAGCTGTCGATTGGCTTTACTGGAACATTCATGCTGACGCTGTTTCCGAGGCAACCTCCTTCGATTACGGTGAAAAGGTGCTAAGCTTTTGTCTGTCACATGACGACCATCACCAGAGCAAGGTATCATCGTCACAACCAAATTCAAGCCAACGTCGTTTGGATGTATTATAGAACAAACAAGGCAATAAGTTTGGCGCAGAGATGTATGAGAGACTCACAGACGCAGGGTGCTTTACTCATCTCGTATGCAATTATGCATATTAAGTTAAAATAGGATTAATAGAAGAAATGATAAAAAGGAATCTACGCTCACTAGACGTAGGCCACAGATACCAGGAAATAGGTCGCTTTTGGCGAATATATTGTTTCAAAAAAATAACCCATTAAGATTAGCAGATATTTACATTTCAATATTTGTTTTTTATGAGTAGGGTTTTTAGACTATCAGTAATCATTGATAAGATATGCATATTTGTAAACGAAATATAACTAAAGTATTCTATTGTCATAGCGAATAGAAATTTGCTTCATCGATAAACTAAACAAATATTGTAATAATTAAAAAATATCTGGTTCTTCTTGAAATGCATATCTGCCCAGTGAGATCAGGGCAGTCTTGGCAGTCTGACAGAGGGGCTAGTTACCGTGTCGAGCTTACACGCTGAACTTTGATGGTTCGAGTCCAGTTGGAGGCGTTGATAAAACCCAAACGAGACGAGGTCAAAACGGCAGTCCTTTTGAGTCTGGAGCAGAGCACATTTTGATAAAGCAAAGCTATGTGAAATCCAATGGAAACGTCAGCTCTGCTATCAGATTGTGGGAAAATTGACCCGCCTTCGCCTTGAACGAAAAAGAATGAATACATTTCATACATTTATTTTTTCATTAATAGTAGACATAAAAAAAGACTGAGCTTCTGGGAAGCAATTAGTTAGTTATTATGATTCAACCATTCATTTCGACGGAAAGGATGGCTGTAAAATAGTAGTGCGTTGGTCTGACGAACAACCGAAAGAGGCTTGCTGCGGAGTGGAGTGTGAAATGACGAATTTTGCATACAAATCTTCAACAGTGAACCGATGATTTGATTGTACAATCCGCTGCAATCTTCCATCCATCTCCGATGAAAGCAATTTACACATTTATTATCTTTCCTTTAATAAGCAGGTTTTTGAGACCGCCAGTGGATCATATATTTGCGTTTTATTCACCATTATTCGTTTGAGGAGATAAAGGGAACTTACATTAAATTCTTTCACAATCAGATGAGTAGATCCTACGTCTCGAGTCCAGTTGGAGTAGACAGCGCGACTCGAATCACGACAGAACAGCATATCATATCGAAACGGTAACCAGTAGGCCACAGTGCCACATAACTTCCTTCTTATCCTTGAAGTGTGCATCGGCTCCGTGGCCCAAGAGTAATTGTTGCAGAATGTATCACGATTATACGTCGCACTGCATCAAACCAGGTTCGAGTCCCGCCAGGGGGGCTGATAAGACCTGATCGGGCGGAATCGAAACTGCAGTACACTCCAGCCGGTATGAGAATAGCTGTTGGGAAAGCAAAGCTGTGGGAAATTGAATGAAAACGGTAGGCTTACTTTTGTGCTTCTGGGGTGAATGCAGCTTACAACTTTCTGCCAGCCAAAATTTCTTACGAACTTAATCAGCTTAGGTCTGGTGGTGACTTTGGTACTGATACTAGAGTTCTTACACAATCTGATGAGTTAGGCTTCATCAGATTGGTTGATTTCACTTTCTGTGCGAAGAAAAGTTGGGTTTCGAGGAATCTCTTGTTTCATAATTGTTGAGCTTACTTCCGTTTCGAGTGAAAGTGTTGGGTGAAGAGATTCGAAGGTCGGTTCAACCAAAAGACGACCAGCTGTCGATTGACTCGTTAGCTTGAATTTGGTTGTGACGATGTTATCTCGCTCTGATCATGTCCGTCATATGACGCACGAAAGCTTAGCACCTTTTCGCCGGAATCGAAGGAGATTGCCTCGGAAACA